GATTTTGTTTGTACCTGCAACTGTAAAAGTGAAGGAATGAAATCATTAGTTATCATTTTCTTCGTCTTCATGATAGCTCAACTACATCTTCTTTTCGCGAAAAAATCCAAACATTTTCTTAGATTTCTACTTCGGTGACAGCACGCAAGATTCAATCTTGGCCCCCTTCATGAGCTGAATATCTCTGATATTATAACATCCCGGTGAACACCACCAGTTCCTTCAGGCAGCAGCAGTACCCCACACTCAAAATTTTGCCACACAAAAAGGGGACCATATCATTAATTGATTGATATGCATTGCATGTTTGGAAACGCGGTAATCCAAACTATGTTTTTCTAAATTTTTTAAAAATTTTTTTATTAAAAAGTAATATTTTTATGTTTATGGATCATTTTACTATATTTTTGGATCATTTTAATATATAGACTTTAAAAATAAAAAAAATTACTTTAATACATTTACGTATAAAAAATACTTTAAACCACAGTACTTATTGTAATTTTAAACATTGTGGAGCCGAAAAGGGAGTTGGCAACCCACACGACCAAACTCATGCTAAGAGGCACTACGTACAATAAATCACATTACCCTAGATTTAACCATATGCCAACAATCCCCGGCTCAGATTTCTGCCATCAAGCAATCCTGAGGGCCCCAAACTCTTAGTCACAGCAGTGATGACGACTTTTGATCTCAGACTTGTATGCTCTAATTACGCTTTCAGCTAGCTGGTAATTTCAATCTAGTTCAATGAGTTAATCTTGAGTGATAAATAATCATGAGGATTTACCAGCTAGTTTTACAGACATTTTAAGGCAGGAGTGTAAGAAAAACTGTACTTAATGAAGACATGAATCATATTAAAAATAAAAAATAAATATTCAGAGGTATTGTTAAAAAACAATAACTAGTATAATTAATTCACATTAAAAGACCCAATAATAGAAATATAATGGCCTTCTCTCTTTTTTTTTTGGACTGAAAAGATTTATAAAGATGTTTGGAATACTTTTTTAATTTTAATAATTAAAATAACACTAAAACAATTAATCTAGAAACAAAAAGGTGAATTCCCATATCAAAATAAATATTCTTTAAATCTATATATATATATATATATATATATATATATATGAACATTAGTGATTATGGGAGAATCTTCTTCTATATAAGGTGCTTTTATTCAAAACTCGAATGAGAGCGTCTAGTTATGTCTATCAAATCGCAAAGCACTAAGAGCTATAATGGGAGCATATGATAAAGATGTTGATTTTTACCCACCTTCACCCATATAATTCCGGTCCTGAAGCATGCATTACTTTCCCGGTGCTTATCTCAAAGATCGAAGGGCGCAAGGTAACCTATATCATAAGAAGTTTTAGGTTCTAGACGTCCTGTTGCATCCCTTTTTTATGATTTTTCATGATATGTTTTCCAGAGACGTCCATGGCTTCTTATTGATAGTCTTCGCCATTGCATGCTTTTGAACACATACCTCTCATCTTTACCAAATTAATTGCATTTCTATAAACTATCATAATTAGAGAGACCAATTCACCTTGATTGACATTGTTTTTCTTTCTTTTTTGTTAATTGTGGACTATAGGATGTTTGTTTTTGACAAGTTTTGACCTAAGCTAGCAAGATATGAATTTAAACCATCAAGAACACTTTGTTCTAATTCAGAGCATGATTATAAATACCATGCTAGCCTAACGGGTCAATCCAAAATTTGACTAATTTGTAATCTAGATCGATTCAAGTTGAAGAAGGAAAAAAATCTAGGTAACTCGGTCAAAACCTCAGATTAACCTGATCTATCCAAACCTGATTTAATCAAAACTTAATCCTTAATTTGTTGACTTTTTTAAAAAAAAAATTACAAGAACAACCTAGGTCACAACCCGATGATTGTCCACTAAAAATTCTATTTATGCTTCAAAAACTATATAATATAGTAGCCAAGGTCAAATATTTTAGAAACTTCTTTTTCCTAAGATAAGGGTAGGTTATTTTCAAGCCGGTTGACAGCATATAATTCAACCAAAATGCAACCTAACCGTGTTGAATTTAAAGCCCACGCACAAAAAAGGCATTACGTGATCACATAATATACACACAACCAAAGTCTCATCCATTTCATTAACTTTACCATCTTCATTCAATGTCCATCTAGCCAATTTCTAGACACCAAAACCATGAAACTCAACTGCTTTTGTATCATTTTACCGGCTGATTTCGAAGAAATCAAGCCATTTGATCAACCACAAATCCGACCACCTGTGCATGATAACGTCAAAAAGCGCCAAGACTGCGGCTGCGGGAGGCAAATACTTCATGTCCTAGGTGATTCATTACGCCGGTTACATGAATCGAAATGGATTGGTTGTTTTCAGGACGACAAACCAAGTAAACAGCAGTCTGGTCTGTTTCATGACCTGGAAGGAATTCAGATATCTGAGAAGGTTGGTGGTGATAATCCAAGGATATTCAGCTATGCTGAACTTTATATAGGGTCTAAAGGGTTTTGTGAAAATGAGGTCCTTGGAAGTGGAGGTTTTGGAAAGGTTTATAGAGCAGTTTTACCAAGTGATGGTACTGTTGTTGCAGTCAAATGCTTGGCTGAGAGAGGAGAACAGTTTGAGAAGACTTTTGAAGCTGAATTGGTTGCGGTGGCTCAACTGCGACACAGGAACCTTGTCAGGCTAAGAGGGTGGTGTGCTCATGAAGACCAGTTGTTCTTGGTTTATGAATACATGCCTAACCGCAGCCTGGACAGGGTTCTGTTTAGAAGGCCTGAAAACCTGAAAGCAGAACCCCTTGCTTGGGAACGACGAAGGAAGATAGTCAGTGGCTTGGCAGCAGCATTGCATTATCTCCACGAGCAATTGGAGACTCAGATCATTCACCGGGATGTGAAGACAAGCAATGTCATGCTTGACTCACATTATAATGCCCGACTTGGTGACTTCGGCTTGGCACGGTGGTTAGAACATGAACTTGAGTATCAAATCCGGACACCTTCAATGAAAAATCACCAGTTTCGTTTGGCTGAATCAACCAGAATTGGTGGCACTATCGGTTATTTATCACCCGAGAGCTTCCAGAAACGAAGTGTCGCTACTGCTAAATCTGATGTTTTCAGCTTTGGAATTGTTGTGTTAGAGGTGGCGTCTCGGAGGCGGGCAGTGGATCTGACATATCCTGATGATCAGATCATTTTGCTTGACTGGATAAGGGGATTGTCCGACGAAGGGAAGCTTTTACAAGCAGCGGATAATATGCTTCCAGATGGGTCATTTGGGCTTTCTGATATGGAACGCCTGATTCACCTGGGGCTCCTATGCACACTCCACAATCCGCAACTACGGCCTAATATGAAATGGGTTGTGGAAGCACTTTGTGGCAACATTTTGGGCAAACTGCCACCTCTTCCATCATTTCGGTCTCATCCTAGATACATAGCTATATCACCTGCAAGCACTAGCATAAGCAAAACCAACACCAGCACCACCGCGACCACCTCCGTTCCAAGTTCTGACATGACAATCTCGTTCACTTCATCAGCGTACGTCACAGCTACGGAAGAAACCATGTATGCAACAGCAGAATTTGAGAGTAGTAATAAACTGAGCTCTTCTAAGTCGAACAACAGAAGTCACCGTCAAAATGCTCTCTTTGTGGTGGATACTCCCAGGGAAATATCCTACAAGGAAATCACTTCTGCTACAAATAATTTCTCGGACTCACAAAGGGTAGCAGAGGTGGACTTCGGAACTGCTTACTATGGCATCCTTGAAGATGGCCATCAAGTCTTGGTGAAGAGACTTGGCATGACCCAATGCCCTGCAATACGCGTGCGATTTTCAACTGAACTCCTAAACTTAGGCAGGCTCCGCCACCGCAACCTGATACAACTCCGTGGATGGTGCACAGAACATGGAGAGATGCTTGTCGTCTATGATTATTCAGCAAGTCGCCAGATGAGTCACCTTCTTTTCCATCATGACAATAGAATTGGGCATTCTATTCTACAATGGCGGCACAGATATAACATTATCAAGTCTCTTGCTGCTGCAATTCTTTATCTGCATGAGGAGTGGGATGAGAAAGTCGCCCCCGAAAATATTACCGCCGCTTCTATCATTCTCGATCCAGACATGAATCCGAGACTTGGTAACTTTGCACTTGCTGAATTCTTGGCAAGAAATGATCATGCCCATAAAGCAGCTGCAAAAGAAAATAAATCAGTCCGTGGAATCTTTGGTTACATGTCTCCCGAGTACATGGAATCTGGTGAGGCAACCCCAATGGCTGACGTGTATAGCTACGGTGTGGTGGTTCTGGAGGTGGTCAGTGGACAAATGGCAGTTGATTTTCGGAGACCAGAGGTGCTATTGGTTCATAGAGTTCATGAATTTGAGACACAGATGAGAACAATGGAGGATCTGGCTGATATAAGGTTGAACCGTGAATATGATCATGAAGAACTGATCAGAATCATCAAATTGGGGATTGCATGCACCAGGTCCAACCCAGAATTAAGGCCAAGCATGAGGCAGATTGTAAGGATACTTGACGGAAATGATCAATGGTTCATGGAAGGAGGGCGAAGGAAGGAAAGCAGAGAAGAATGGAGACAAAACAATGCTAGTTCTTTGTCATTGATTAGAAGAATCCAAGCTCTAGGGATCAAGTGAGTAAAGTATTAGTGACAACTAGATAGTCACTATAGGTTTCTGCGGAGATTGATAGTTATTTCCCTTCCTGTAACTTCTGTGTACTATCAATGTATATGCTTTGCTTTTCAATAGGCTACCTTTTTTTTTTTTCCTCATTAGAATCTAGTAACGCTGCAGTTATAGCTTCTTGCCATAACCACCCCTACGCTGGCTTTCCATACAAAGTACTTGCAATACAATCTAGACAGTAGAGGAAGACCAGAATCATGAAAGGAAAATAAAAATGATCCCCAAGGCCTCTAAGGTGAGGACGAGAAAGAAATGAACCCTTAATTTATCAGGGTGATTCATAGAGCATATGAAACGTTAACTGTCACCACTAATAATACATGCACAATTGAGCATGGCAGAGGAGCGACAGCTTTGAATAATACACTTGGATGATTTATTTTTGCACATAAATGCATCAATCTGACCTCATATTCGACAGTTATCCAGCTCAAATTCTTGTGCCTGGTTTGACTTCCCTTCTCGGGAATTTCTTCGTCAGCATCAATCCTAATCCAGTTGATTAGAGAAGAGAGGAACTCCCTGAAACTGACCTTCCCATTCCTGTCCCAGTCCATTTATTCCGCATATATTCACAGGAATCTCCAAGAGGATGGTTTGAGGATTTTAAAACAACTGGAACTACAAGTCAAAAGTAGAAATATATCATGTGAAAGAGATAGAACTAATTCTGGATCCGGTGATGTGTGCTGGGGATTTTTCCCAAGGAGAATCCTCTTTGAATGCTTTGATCATGTCTTTCTTTTACAGCTTCCCATTACCATTCTTATCCAAGAATAAGAAAGCTTCTACAATTGTATCGAAAGTGGCCCGAAGCCCTGGTGAGCCCGGCTTTGATGTCTGAAACAAAACCCTCAGGCCATCATATATGGGTGATCACAATAAGCTGACGTCTTTAAGTCAAAAGTATGAATGAAGATAAAGTCAAGTTTAAGGTGGATGCTCTTGGGAGGAGAGGATGAATGTTCTACTAGGAGATAGATGACTTCTAAGAACATTGAACTCATTGAATTGTCAATGTCGCAGGAGTGGAAAAGATCCTCAACTTCCTCCTCTTTTAAAGTGAGTGCAGCTTTTGTAAGCATTTTTTGAGTTCCTCAAGGTCAATAGATCCATTTACATCTTCATCTATGAGGAGGATATAGAGAGTCAATATGCAGAAAGAGTCCACCATTGCATCTCAGGGAACAGAAAAGCAACCTTGTTTAAACTCACCATACTGTTCAAATACCCCTCTGATGTGTTTCAGTTCTTCATTAAACTGAGGAAACCACATGATTAGTATATTCATCCAGCCTCTTATATTTGTTTGGTGATCCACAATGGAAAAACATCCCTCCTGTTTTGGATGACAAGGACTTGAAAGAAGGGAGAGGGTGGGATGTGCCTTGAAAATTAGACACAAGGAGGAATCAAAATGCAGGCTCAACAAAAGAGTTAGACATAAGATCTGTTTAATTTACTAATTTCACAAAGATCTTTTAATGCATACTAAACATAATTTAATCCCTTTCTTTATCTTCTGTCTAGCTATGTTGCTTCATTCAAAGGTAACAATACGTCTTTCTAAATGCTACTAAAACGAAGCTGCATTATGCAGGCTAATATCAGTCAATAGACTTAACTGTGATGAAAGCTTAAAGCTAAAGAAAAAGAAAAAAAAAAAAAGATTGTATATTATTTGTTCCTGAATGAGTATGAATTCATATCAGGATAATTGAATGCATTTCAACAAAATAAAATCATATATGTAGGTTACTATATGAGAAATCTGGCATTAGCTCTCAAATGAGTATGAACCCTACCCTCAACCATCTGCATGTTTGAAATTGTTCAAGCAAAACAGCAACTTGGAAAAACCAAGGAAAAGGCAATGAATGAAAATTCTATCAAGAGAATTCCTTCCTTGAGTGATTCCTTGCCGTTCTTTCGAAGACCTAAATGCAGCTTATAAGGACACCTTGGTTCTGATATATGGATTTCTATTGTCTGCTTTCTCAGTTTAGCAAAGCTTGTTCTACTGTATCATCAATGGATAATGTAACACTCTACAATGAAATAGATTCTGAAGCACTGGTCACATAACATGAAAGTGATGGCACCTCAACAGGAATCAAGTTTCACGAAAGAAAAAGAAGAGAACTGAAATAGACAGATAGAGAAAAGGAGCAATTATAGAATATCAGTACATGAGAAGGGAGAAAATCAGTGAACATGACAACAATAGCATGCAAGGATCAGGAAAGCTGATAATGTAATGACAGTATTAACTCACTCGGTGAAAATGAGTTAAATAGGCAAAATTAAAGCTTTCAAAGTTAATCTACAGGCAGAAGCTTTCTTCCATTAATTTTCCACATTCTTTGTATTTCTTTTCTTCTTTTGTTGGATATCTACAGAACCCCTTAGTCCAGAAAAAAATATTAGCAAGTAACGAGAAAGAGAAGCAAGAAAATAAACTAAGAGATAAGATTTACCCAGTGAGTCTGTCATGGCTGCAAGTGAGAGAAAGGAGGCAGCTGGTTGCTCCGAGAGAGTAGAGGTACAGTTCATAAAGGAGAAAAGGAGCATTTGATTGTCTTGAAAGAAAACGAGGGCACAAAAAAAAGTTCAGAATAAGCAAAATGAAGTGCTTTACTGTGGACATGCCATCATGGCTTCCACATCAAATGCAGAGCCAGAAAATACTTTACTTTTCTCTCTCTCAATTGAATATTCAAATACTGTCTGGGTAAGCAAGAATAAATCTTTTTCTTGGAGTTAAGTCATGCCAATGTTCAAGTATTGAAGCTATCCTATCTGGTTCCAATGGAAATAAGTCACCGAATTTTCATGTAGAATTTTCATAACTTGTAGACACAAATTTGTTCCAAAGCTAAAAAAAAAAAAAGAAATCATTTAATTCACAGGCACATGAAAGTGGGAATTAAATATGTCCCATGAAGGGAGGGAGGGAGGGAGGGGAGGAAGCACCCGTCGTTTTGTGAGTTCTTTGTCGGGCAGAGAAGAAAAGTTCTTTTTCTACCACTAATTATCCCTCGACGGCCTGATCTTTTAGCATTCATCAACTTTTGTAAGATGTTTAAGTATTGAGTATCGAGCCATAACAAATACATCTTCAAGAATTTGGACAGACAAATTTGCAGCCTTTCACAACCTCGTCCATCAACGCACAGTTGGCAATGGTCAGCGTTAGAAGTGGAAGACAGCGGGAATAATTAAAACTCAATTCAACTCTATATATACATTGCCACCTTTTCAATGCCATCTTGAAAAGCAAGCTGGACAAATGAATAGCATGCCACTCGTTTTGCAGAAAGGGAGAGAGTTCCAAGTTATAAGAAAATGATATCCTCTAACTCCAAGATCTGAGAATATACAGGCCACTGATGATATGGTTGATTAAGATTTGACATTTAGATCAGCTAGACAGATAAAAAAAAGAAACAAAGAAGTTTCTGTTTCTAGGATGGAAATGCCTTGCTATTCATCCAAAATATTACTCATTGTCCATTCTACTTCCTGCCGAATGTTGCCTTCGAAGGGCAATGAATCTCCATTACCAAGCACAGGCCTTGATCTTTTCTTTGTGGAAGCAACTTGTGAGCCCACACCCATGGGAGAAATTGGGCTACTAGTTGAAGTCAAGCAGCTTTCGACAGAGCAATCACCAATGCGAGCAGGCACATTGGAAGCATTTCTGTTCCCTAAAGCAGCAGCAAGTTCAGATAAGGAAGGCATTTTCATGGTATCAAGCGGGGCAATTCCTGCACATTCATTGGAAACCTTGATTGCTAATTCAGAAAGCTCTTCCCTAGCAGCTTCAAGTCCTGCAGTTGCAACAGCCCGGTCATTCAGAGCTTTACAAGCTTTCTCAAGTATTGACTGTAAGTATTTCCCCTGAGCTTCAATGCGAAGTTGGAGATGATGTTGCACCTGCTCATGATTAAACCCTTAGAAAGATCTTAAAATTTCAAAATCATAGCCGAGACACGTAGCTACTTGGATTAAAGACAAATTTCTAGAAGTGAAAAAAGGAGTCTGACCTTTGAGGGAAAAGTTACAATTATTTTAGCTTGTAATAAACCACCGGTAAAAGCTTTTTCCCAGGAAAATGGAGGAATTGTTGCCCGAGCCTGGCTCACCATGAGCCCACACTCACAAAGTGGTGGGTCCCAATATTCATGAAAGGGGGCACATGGTGAACCGGTCTCACCTAATATCTTCTCCCTCAAATGAGGCTACATTTCTATACTTTTTAATTAATCTTTTCTTGAAGTTGTTAGATGGTGATAAGCTTGGACCGTTGAGGCTTTAACTTGTCTCATGCGTAATTAAAAAAAAAAAAAAAGAGGGTAACTCATAGCAACTTAGATGTTCCAGTTCTAACTTCCATGTTATCCCAAAAGTCCAAAAGCCACATAAATGAATGCTAACCTCCAGCTGCTCATGCAATCTTCGTTGGACTTCCATCTGCACTCTCAAAGCCTCAGTAACCTGGTAACCACTGTTTGAAAGATAAAAGGCAGTAAAGATTGGAACACAAGGAGAGATGGAACAAGTATGACATGTTTAGAGTAGAGACAGCATACTCATTCAGATCCTGCGCGATCATTCTTGATGATGTGGATGTTGATGAACCAGTATCCTGACTTTCTGCAACTGATGGTGCAATCCCAACTACACATCATTCCTTAAATCAGTACGTTTTCAACCACAGCAATTTACCACCAGAAGCAGTTCAACTATGGTACCCAAGGTATGAAAATTTTGGTAAAAAAAAGGTGTTGTGCATGTGCATTTACAATTGATGCTAGATAGAAAATTAATGTGCAGACATTTGCCAATATGGTAATACACAGAATAAAAAAAAAAATGCAGCTGGCAGGAAAAAAGGTAGAGGAGTTCACAAATTGAAGAATAGTCTTATGCCCCTGGGAAGCCCTCAATAGATTAGATAAAAGAGAACAGCTAGTAAAAAGGTTCTAAATAGAAGAGTCAATACCATCCTTGGAGTTATCAGTTGATTCCTTGCAGGACTGCTTTCCCAACCGGTATTTCTGCGAGTAGAAATGTTAACTAGAGGAAAGAGCATGAAATCATATGAAGCTAATACCTAGAAGATCAAAAAGAATAAAGAGAGACAACGGTTTCAGCAGACCTGTAGGTGAGATTTCAAGTGATAAAGGGTGAGGCCTTTTACCCCCATTGTTCTCATAATTGTCTTTGGTGTTGCTTCTGCAATTCATATTGAGAAAACAAAACAAAAACTTCAATTAGCAAATCAGCATGATTGTGTGCCTACAAAATGAAGTATAGCCAGTAGTCTGTAAAGTCATATGACAAATGGAGGTTGTCCTATAAATGTGTCTTCAAAATTGAGATGTCAATGTGCTACACTTTGTTCATGTACAAATCAGTTAGGAGCCAAAGACATGTTGAGGAACAAAATGATGTTCCTATTAAGTTCCTTATGTCACTGCAACAGAACAACAATATTTTTAACAATAAAAATGCTTCGAAACCACAATACTGGAGGGACAATATCTCAAGCATGAACAATCCCTGGTAACTTGTACTAATTCTTAGCTATCAATATCCTATTGAAAAAGCATAGTTTCTAATAAGCAGGCCATTTACAGATTCCTGTCTATCATTTGACAACAAACTACAATGCAAGCATGTGTGTGACTCAGAACGCCAAGGCATGAGTTGGTTCTGTTGGTTGAGGAACTCTACATTGGCCTATTATGCATTGTATTGAAGCGGTAGCTGCCTCATGCAATGGAAATTTCTTACAATTTCTTACAATTATAAGTTGCAACAGCATGGGCCTACCATCCAAAAGTGTAAATTGGAGTTGCTTTTGGGATAACCAACTCTGATTTGCAATTCCAAGAACTTCCCCACAGACACAATGGGGGACTTTGAATGTCACAATACTACCAAGACCCATCAAAGATTTCAGCACTGGTCTTATGATGCCTTCTGAAAATGGTTTATTTCACAACCCCCTGCATTTTCTAGCTTCCTCATATTTCATACTTCTCATACTAGAGGCAGCAGCAGCACCAATGGCAGGTTGGTGAAAAATGGTAAAATCACCATAGCAGCCTGGTCAAGGTGGCTTTGTTTTACCGGAAGTATAGTGATTCCAGCCTAGTAAGGAGATCAATTAAATTCCATAATTCTGATACCAGTAATGGGGCCCTACTAGAAGTACTAGAATTCAATCCTCCATGACAAGTAAGCTCAACGTTTTCATTTAGAAAGAAATAAAATAATCATATCACATATTGATTTAAACTTCTTAGAAATAGGAGCAAAGAGAGCTTGCATGGTGCTGCTTTGACTGGTGTTATAGATAGTAAAAGCTTGGTATTTCTTTGTGAAATCTCCATTCAAAAACAGAACCACAAATTTAATACTCCAAAATAATAGAATATTCTTTCCTAGACAAGGACAAGCCGCTATAGTTCATCTAATTTGTCCTTTTGGTTGTATTTTCAAGTAGATGAAATACATGAGAAACATGTAGCGCACAATAACCAGAAAATCAACAAAAACATTAAAAGAATAAAAGCATATGAGATCAAGGCAGCTTAGATAGCTAGTCAATCAAAAACAACTAAACAACGAAAGAGAAATCTTCTCACGCTAACTTTATGATAATCATTCTAAATTAAACCATACCAAAGAAATTTAACTGGCAGGACATCTCAAGTTTTCTAAGCAACATACTGATTAAAAACACTTGAACTAACAATACTCATTAAAAACACTTGACCTAACAAAGACAAAAATAATAATTCGACCAAAATAAACACATAAAACCATGTGGTAAAAACAAATAGACGGAATAAACCCTCCAGTAAATAACAGGAAAAAAGGGCTCCTTTAATCACTCAATACATCATCAACAATACGGGTTAATCACATCCAGAACCACCACATCAATTACTATAATCACATCTGAAAACATATCCTAAAATATTTAAAAAAAAAAACTTTTTTAACTACAAAACCCAGTGAATATTTCAAGCACTAAAATTAACCAGGCTGAGATCAAAACCCACATTTCTTTCAAAGAAACAGAAAAGAAAAGACCCTTTCCACCAACTAAATAAACCCCAAAACACATTTCAAGTACATCCCATAGTGAAAACAGACATTCTTCACAGAAAACATCACGAAATAACCGTCTTTACACTTCCTAGCGAATAAAATAGAAACTTTAAGGCAATAAAAACACATTCAAGAAAAAAGCAAAGACACATACACTAATGCTAAAACAGCTCATAAATTGAAACAAAGAACCAAACATAAAGAAAAAAACAAATGAAGTAGTAGTAGTTACTGTCAGGTCCACCAAGTTGAGTAACAGCATCAACAAATCTCTCATGTAACTCAGCAGTCCAGCGGAGCCTTGGCTTTGGATCCGTAGTGAGAACCAAGCACGCATCCCCAGGCAGATTAATTCCATCTAATGAAGCTTGAAAGTCCCCATGTCCATCCAAAGGCAGTGAGTGTATTGCAGAGTACATTCTTGAATACCCTTTGAATATTTTTCCAAAAAGAGTGTCAAAAAATGGTGAAATGGTGCCCAAGATCCGATTTTTGGGTTCCTTTCGGGGCTTTAGAGCCCCGACTTTGAGGTCAGAAAAAGGAGTGTCTCTGCGTGTGTTGGTATTTCAGAGAGAGAGAGAGAGGACAGTGTCTGCAAGTTATTGTTTTTATGAGAGAGAGAGAGACAGAGAGAGAGAGAGAGAGAGACAGAGGTGTTTTAGGACAGCGATTTGTCCATCGTGTTTTTGTATGTCTGTACAGAGAGATGCGTGGAGC